CAAATTTCACAAAACTGAGGAAAGGCATTCAACCTCAGATTTAGGAAGCACAACAAATATCAAAATAGAAAAATAAAAAGTAAATGTAGGAGTTAGTATGGGGAGTCTGCCATTCTTCAGATCCGTTTCCAGGTTCCTCCTATGCTTAGGAGCCCTATGCTTCCATGCTACCCAGGTGCTGAAAGAAGCACAGGGAGAACACTGGGCATCAGGAAATGATACCCCCTTGATGTAGCAGCTTTCTTTAGAAAAAAAAATGTCATTTTTCTACTTCTTAGCAGTGGAAACTCTCATTTATCATAGTCTAATTGATCAAGATTGACAACTATGTCCCAGAAACAATTCTTGCCATCATCATGCATTTGCCGGAGGTGGGAGCCCAAGACAGAGAAGATCTCCAAGGAATCTCTGAAAATGTCTTCTAGAGAAATTGCTACCAGGGCTGAAAGAAGATGGATTATGATTTGTGAAAAACAACTGAGATGCTTGCAGGGCAGCCACTAGCTGTATGGCTGCACACTTTTTATGGCTACTTCTAGCCAAACATGTTAACTGAAATATGCCTCTCTTGTTCACACTAAAAAGAGAATGATTGAACTCATCTGGGAAACAGGGGACACAAGCAGTGCCTTGCCCTAGTGGAACAGTAATGTGAACCTGAGGAATCATGAGGAGAATGGGTATTATTAGGATGTAGTTATTAATGAGCAATGGATGCATAGCAAGGTCACAGGGTTACTTTAAAGTTCTTCAAGTTACTGCCAAAGCATTTCATAGAAGACATAAGAATGGTAAACAAATATATTAAAAAAAGATTCATCATCTCTAGCAATTAGATAAATGCAAATTAAAACTATATTGAGAATCCATTTCACTCCAGTCAGAAGAGCAATTATCAAGAATACAAATGAAAATAAAATGTTGGTGAGGATGTAGGGAAAAAGGTACAGTCATATATTGCTGGTGGACTGAAAGGTGGTGCAACTACTCTGGAAAGCAGT